ATATATTAGCATACATACATGAATGAATATGCAGCCGAATGGATGAATATATATAGGTATATAGTAAACACGTGTATTGTGATGCAAACAATAACAGTACAACTACACGCAACAAGAAGTATGACCAGAACGAATAATGAAAACAAAGGATGACCAGGATGACGAGAATAGAAAGAATAGTGTGTGAGTGGAACAACATGTATATATATAGTGTACACGGTACACACATCGATCACGCGCTGATCACACAAGTGGTCACTCAACAAATGACGTCATGTCATAATCATATACTAGCTTAGCGTTAGTGTATATTCACTGACGCTAACACCTCCCCTTCCCAAAAATCGTCATTTAAAGTCTTGACATGCCTTAAAAGGCAGTCAAAAACACCACATGATGATTCACGAAAGGAAGATGTTAATAACAAAAGAAGAAAAAAAAATATATAGAGAGAAAGAAAAGAGTAGAGAAAGTATATGCACATGAGTTTGAAAATGAGAAACAAATCTTTATTTATTTCGTTGAATCCAATTAATAAAATTATTGGAATCAAATATGTTGTGGGGTAAATTTTGATCACCGTGCAGCATGTCTAATGAATTATTAAAGTGTAACCGAAGTGTATGGTTAGACACTATAACTAATCTAGCATAATGAATGTTGCTAGATTTAAGAAAATTTTTCACATGATAATAGGACCATGCTGACGTAATATCTCGACTTATTATAAAGTTTTGTTGAATTTGTTTAAATTTCAAATTTCTCTTTCTATTACGACGACTAATAGCTTCACGAGAACGATATTTAATATTGTTAGATGATTGATGATGTACGTTCAAATCGTGAAGATAATTTATAATGATGTTAGCAAAACGATCATGATAATCATGATGAAGATGAATTCTATCTCGACTTAACCATTCAAATGGAACACTTAAATCGAGGTAAAGAACATTATGTTTTGCTGATAAAGATAACAATAGTTGATTATAAATTTCAATATTGTGTCTTAATAATGTAATAGTAGAGAAACGATTTGATGGTTTAATACAAGGAAGACAACTTGTAATGATGATTCTGCCTTGTCTTAAATGAGAATAACGAGAAAAAAGAGAATCAAGTAGATAATCAACTTGTTGAATAATTTCTTGAGCAGGGAAATTCCGGACGGAATTAATCCCAATAAGAAATAAAATATTCGAAGTTGAGTTAATTAATGAAGAAATGGGATCAGTATGGATTAAGGAAAGAAGACTTAAATCGTGATTATAATTGTTAACCCATTGAAGACCCGAAATTGAATATGTTTTAATACAATAAAGAGATGTAAGAATCGTTGGTGTTAAACATTTACCATGACTATCCGATATAATCAAAAAGATTTCAGGAGTAGATGATAAAGGAGTCATAGTAGTAATAGTAGTAAAAAGTACTAAATAAGTATAATGGAAATGGTTTGGTTTGTACGATGGAATGCATAATTAGTAAATTAGAAAAAGAAAAAAAGAAAAATGAAAATAAGCAAAATAAGGTTTATATGAGGTAATGACGTGAGAAATTACTTAATCTTAATCAAAAATCAAAAAGTTTTGTTTTTAAACTGTTTTGATAATACCAATCATCCATTATTATTTTACAGATTCAAGATGAAAATCTATTGTGTTCCTACAGCGCCATATTAGTAAGATAACTTCCATAATAGGTATCTAATGCTACTCAGCTGATTTTGGCGCATGAATCTGCAGAATAAACATCAGTATCTATTATATCCTTAACCGAAAACTGTCGTCATAGTAACAAATGATTAGGTCAAGAAAAATGATTAAGTAATATTGATAGAGAGTATTATACTATGATGAGTTATTACAAATACTATTGCATGTTGTATGATAGAGAGATATTAAAGTTTAATTTGTAATAATAGGTCGAAGATCATTAATATGTACCTGTGATCTTATGCGTGTACATTCATCTTCTACTATATATATTGGATGATAAGCTTCAACAACAATTTTTGGAATAGAAGAAAATTTCGGATCTAGTTTTCCTTTTAAACCATAACTTCTGGTTAAAACCTTTTCTCCTACATTTAACTGTGGATTGAGGCGACTTTTGTTGTAATAATGCTGATTAGCCTGCTGCTGAAGTAAAATATTATCTCTCGATGCTTGATGAAATATACGCAATGTTTTCTTTAACTGTTCGAAATAGTCATTAGGTCTAAGAAATGTAAATTCTTGAGGTTGTATATGAATCGGAAGACGAGCAGAGCGACCATATAGCAACTCATACGGTGAAAATTTCGTAGATTTATGCTCTCCCGTATTATAGGCAAATACAACTGCTTGTAGAAACTCATCCCAGTTATTATGTTGAGTACTCTGTAACTTCGAAATCTGAGCTACAAACGTCGCGTTAAAGCGTTCTACAACTCCGTTTGTCTGAGGATGATAAGCAGTACTATAAATATGATTATAGCCTATGAGTTTCTGCAAATTTTCCATCAGTTTATTTTGAAAATGTGTTCCTCGATCACTTAGAATAACTGAAGGTATACCAAACTTACAGAAAAAATCATCAAATAAGGCGCGCGCTGTAGTTTCAGCTGTACAATTAGGAAGTGCTATTGCAGTTATATGTCTCGTAAAATAATCTGTAATAACAAGTACATATTGGTTCTCACGTGGAGTTCTAGGTAAAGGTCCGCAGAAATCAATACCTATTAATGCTAATGGTCCTTCTGGTGGTGGAATAGAACGCAAATGACCATATTTCTTAGCACGACTTAAATTAAATTGTGTACATAAACTACAAGACTTTACATAACGTTGAATGGTGGTTTTCATTTTTGGCCACCAAAAATGAGTACGAATTTTATAATACATTCGATCTGTAGCGAAATGTGAACCTGACATTGGATCATCGTGCGATGCTCGCAATAATGACTCTATCATAGATGTAGGTAAATATATAACTTTAATCTTATTATGAGAATATTTATTTAATGAAATAAGTTTATAAACTATATCCTCTTTTAATAGAAACGAATTCTTAGTAGATTCTAAACTAAAATTTTGAACTATCTTTTGTATTTGAGGATCTCGTTGTTGTTCAATTTTTAACTGCGCTATATCGAAATAGTTATGTGAAAGATTAGAAAATGATTTGTTCTTTTTTATATCTTCGGACTGAGATAATGTATCGAACTGTTGAGAAATGATGTTATGATTCTCAATGGATTGGTGATCATTCCTAGCTATAGCTTGTTTTTTACGTGGTCGTAAAGTCATAGCTGCTACAAGTTTTTGCTGACTAAAATTTTTTGATTTATTTTTACTAGCTAGTCCATAGTCAATATTAAATAACGCATCATCTTGTTCTTTAGAATAACGAGAAAGATAGTCAGGTAGACAATTATAACGACCTTGAATGTGTACTATCTTATCAATATTGTATTCTTGAATTAAATGTGTTATTCTATTGACTCTAGTATTTTTTATAGATTTTTGCAGAATGTAGCATAACGGACAATGATCAGTCATGATAATTATACTACGTCCTAGAACAAAAGATCGCATACGTTCTAAACACTTATAAATAGCTAGTGCTTCTTTTTCTATAGTACTATATTTCTTCTCACACGTTGTCATAAGTTGAGAATGATAATAAAGATTATGAATATTGCCGTTTACTTTTTGCTGTAAAACGCCACCAATACCTATATCACTAGCATCTGTAGTTAGAATCAAAGGTAAATCATCTACAGGATAGTGTAAAAATAAAGGCTCAGTAATAAGCATCTGCTTAAGCTGCCGAAAAGCTTGTGACTGAGGATTTTCCCATTTAAATTTTCGTCGATTAGATTTTGTTAGATTAGTAACAGCATGTATTGGGGCAGCTATATCGGCAAATTTTGGTAAAAATTTCCTATACCATCCTAAAGATCCTAGAAAGCGATTAGCTTGAGCTAAAGTACGTGGTTCTTCTATATTTAAAATAGCGTCTATTTTTGCTCTCATTGGCTTAATACAATCTTTAGTAATAGTATGACCGAGATAATCGATTTGTCTGACAGCTATTTCACATTTAGGTGGATTTAATACTAAGCTTTTTGATTGTAATGCTGAAAATACTTGTTTTAAGTGATCTAGATGCTGCGAAAAAGATGTTGAAAACACTATTATGTCATCTAGATAAGCGAGACAAAACGAACGACACGACTTCAGCATATCAGTCATAACTTTTTGAAAAGTCGGAGGAGAGTTACGTAATCCCATTGGGAGTACGTTAAACTGATAAAGACCGAATGGTGTTATGAAAGCTGTCTTTTCTTTATCGTTGTCGTCTATTGGTATCTGATAGAAACCTGATTTAAGATCAAGTTTAGAAAAATAGCAGAAACCTTTTCCTAACTTCCTTAAAGTATCTTCCATATTTGGAAGTGGCGAAGAATCTTTAATGGTTATAGCATTAAGTCGTTTATAATCAACTACTAATCTATATGATTGATCTTTTTTCTTAACAAGTATTGCCGGAGCAGCATAGGGAGAATTAGATTGAGAAATTAGACCTGCTGCTAGAAACTCCTGAATAAGCTTATACATCGCCTCCTCCTTATCCGGTTGCGGATATGGTCTACTAGATGGAGGTGAATGTGGAATAGTATTAATAACGTGTGATTTAGGTGTTCGAGCTATATTATGCTTTGTTATATCAAAAATATTATAAAAATTTAATAAAAGGGACAAAAGATCTTGTTTTTGTTGCTTATTCTCGATATCTTTAACAAGTGAATGTAAATAATTTATTACACTAGGATCACATAATTTCGATGATGTTGATATTTTTTCTCCAGAACTAAAATTTCGAATCGTGTTTAAATTACTAAATGCTGGAGTCATACCAAGATTTTTGGTAGTTCCCTTAGATCTATAACACGATGAATAGAAGGTACGAGGTTGTTGAAACGTAGAAGTAGACAATAAATCTCCTATGTGTGTACCTTTTCTAATAAATTTTGGTTCTTTCCTAAGATTACGTAAGGTAATAGCACAACAATAATTTTGAAAATGGAGAGTTTTAGTATTAGTAGTCACTAAAATGTGATATTTAAACGAAGAAAGCAAAGTAAATGGTAAAGAAAGAGATGAAATTGGAATCGATACTATTATTTCTCTTGTAGCATAAGAAGAAAGAAAGACATTATTAGAAATAACAACTGGTATTTTAGTTGGCTTTGTAACATTAACTATTGGAACTATAGTTCGTTGCTGATTCAATTCAAGAGAAACTATCTGTTTCTTAACGCTTATGCTCATATTATATTTATTAATATAATCCATTCCTATGATCATATCTGCACATAAATGCTGGGCTACATGTGCAGTTATGGTAGAATGAAAATTATTGAATTGAACAGATAGATTAACTAAACCAAGAACCTGAAATGGTGCTACACCATCAGCTAATAGAAACGAATAAGGTCGCTTTAGTATTGGTTTCTTAGATACTATGTGATGGAAAATTCGGTTATTGATGAATGTTTTGGTTGCTCCGGTATCAACTAAAATTTTGAGTTTATGATTATTTACTAAAGCGTATACAAAAATTAAAGAAGATTTTGATGGGTTTATTACTGTTTGTCCGGAGTCAACACCACCTGCCGATGACTCCGTTACTGAAAACTTGGGCATGACAAAGCATCATGTCCTAATTGATTACAAATCTGACAAATAATTGATGATAAATAAGTATGAGTATTATTAGAATCGGAAGATAATGTTGGTGAAACAACTGCATTAACTGAACGAGAATTTGTTTTAGAATCCTTTTTAGATGTATTTGTATACTGTTGTATATTTTTCTGTTTCTGACTATTAGTATTATTAGTACGATTTTGACTTAACGAAGTATACTTTTTTGGGTGAAATTGATAATTGGAATTTGAAGGCTGTGTTTGACTAGTTATAGCTACATCGGGCTTATGAGATGTAGATGTATAAGATGGTGTATTAGTACGTGAATTTCTATACGGTGTTGAACTATAATTATTATTAGAGTTAGTAGAATAATATGAAGACAAGTTACTCGAAGTGTTCGTTGTTCTAACAATATTTGTTGGCTTAGAATCGTAATTAGTATGTGTGTCAATATTAGTACTCGATAATTGTAACAACTCTTCAACTTCTTTAGCATACTCAAGAAATTCTACAGTTGTTTTTGGTTTTTTCTTGCGCACTTCAAGTTGAATAGTAGGTTTAACCTTGTTTAAAAGATTTTTCAATTTAGTTGATTCACTCATACTAGGATCAGCTTGTTTACACAACTTAATTACTTCGTTGTAAAAATTTCGAACGGACTGATTTACACTTTGTGTATATGATTCGAGAGTTTTAAAGGCTAACTCTTCACAAAATGATGATGTAAATGCTTTTTTAATTTCCTGAAGAAAGAGACTCCAACTAGTTAACGTAGATATGTTGTTTCGATACCATTGAAGTGCGTCTCCTCGTAAAGAATATGAAATCAAATCAAGTCGATTGCATTCAGGAACATGTGCAGTTTGCATTAAATGATCGATTTCCTCTAACCACTTAATTACATCATCCTTATTACCACGAAAAATCTTTGGATTTTTAATAAAATCTGTTAGAATTGCTTTACGTAAGTCATTTACAACTGAATTAAGCGAAGTATTATCTGTTGATGAATTATTTCCGGTTAACTTAGACTCAGATACATCACCGTTAACTTCGGTGGTATCTTTAACAATGACCTTATTACTAGAACAAAGACATGATTGAGACATCTGAACAGAATTAGTATTATTCGCAACGCTCGATGTTAAATCTATACTCGATTTATTGTTACAAGACTGATTATTCACTGAGTGAGTATTTTGAGCGACCTGATTAAACTGTGAATTGCTAGATACTACAGTATTTGTATCGAAATGTGTTAACAAGAATTCATAGAAATCATCAAAAGAACTAAAAGATCGACGGTTTTTAATATATTTTCGCTTAGCTTCACCCTGAACTAGAAGTGGTACAGCTTTAAGTCGAAGTTTACGTGAAAATTTGAATCGATGAAATAACGTTTCTGTCTCATCTAACCATTGATCAATTGGTTGTATGCCAGAAAAAGGAACAAAATTTTCACAAATAAATCTATCAAATAGATTATCTTTGTCATCTTCTTCTTTATTATGATCTTCATGAACTGATTGATTGTCATCGATATTTAACTGTTCTAATGATTCTTGTTTACGACTAAGTGAAACTGTTTTACTGTCATCGGGGTCAAGATGTTTATCTGTAGTAGTATTAGTATTAGTAATAGATGTGTTTTCATTAATACAAGACTGAACTTTAGCTGATGTTAATGATCTAGCTGGTCGATTTGGCGTCGGAATGATCGCCATACGACGTGCTAACTTAGAAAAAGAACTATATTGAACTTCTGGATTAGCTGTCGATGTTAATACTGACATTGTCGAAGTTGTCGGTAAATTTAATGAATCTAATGATGTAGATTTATACATGTTTTTATTTTATTTATAGCAATTTATTAGAATACAGAAAAATGAATATAAATCAAAGTGACAGGAAGGAAAAGTATATATAGATAAATATTTTCTTCTCTCTCTCTCTCTCTATATATATATATATATATATATAGAATGACTAAATAAGTATTTTTTTTTTATGTATGTAGAAAACTAAATAATTATCTATATATGTATATAATAATGAAATATAATAATGAAAAAAAAATCGGATGTTGGTATTCAGCACGAGAAAAAAAAATTTTGTTTTTTAAATTTAATTTTAACTTCTCCACCAATTGTTAGCTCTATGTATGGGGATGACACTATAGAGCTAAGCTATACTATGTATATATATATTAGCATACATACATGAATGAATATGCAGCCGAATGGATGAATATATATAGGTATATAGTAAACACGTGTATTGTGATGCAAACAATAACAGTACAACTACACGCAACAAGAAGTATGACCAGAACGAATAATGAAAACAAAGGATGACCAGGATGACGAGAATAGAAAGAATAGTGTGTGAGTGGAACAACATGTATATATATAGTGTACACGGTACACACATCGGTCACGCGCTGATCACACAAGTGGTCACTCAACAAATGACGTCATGTCATAATCATATACTAGCTTAGCGTTAGTGTATATTCACTGACGCTAACATTGTCATAGTTCTGTTGTCTTCCTGTATTTGAAAATCATAATTACAAAGAGTGCGGGTGTGGGTTCTCTCTTCACACCCACACATCCAAACCCAGGCCCACACTCACAACCACACCCACATCCTAGCCACAGTCACACCTAAATAGCAACATAGTTGTCTTATTAAGTTGTTCTTTGTTCATTAAAGTCAAAATGGTTCATCTACGTGTGAGAAACTTGTTTAATGTCCATACGAAAGCAAAGGCCAAAGAAAGTTTGATCATTGTTCTGGTTTCAGTTAGGCTAGAGAGAATCTTGGCAATTATTCTCAGAGATTCAGTTTGACTTTGTGAATGCTGAAGAAGTTCTTGTAATATTTCTCGAGAATTGTTGGTTTCAGTTTGAGATAATGATGGAGTATTCGTGAATACTCGTTGACGTATATAATTAACAAATAGCGAAAATTCTTCTTCGGTCATTGACTGTGCATCATGGTTATTCTGCTGAATTGATTCTCTGAACTCGCGAATAACAGCTCGGAGAGAATCATACTGAATTCGATTATTAGCTGTTGTAATCATAGTTGAAGTGCTCATCACAACTGCGCTGTGTGTATTGTTATCAGGAGGTAAAAGACTAGTTTGGACTACATACACAAAGTGAACAATTGAATGTTTATCAGAGTTAAAACTTTTACTCACCAGGTAATATCTGTAATCGGTCCGTAATTACCTGAATTTCAGCAATCAATTCTTCAAAGACCGTATCAAAATTATCCGGTGAAGAAAAATCAATATATAATTTATCACGAATTAGTATACCTAACCAACCTTTGGGCTCATATCCTTTTTCCAAGAGACACGGAATGAAATCAATGTGTCTTTTGTCGGTGTACAAAGCCTCTACAATATATTTCATCGTTAATGAGATAGCAGGAAAAAAAAACATTACTGAATAAATCACCTTTTTGGCAAAATTCACTGTCGAAATATTGATGATTCATGCAGAAAAGAACAATGTAGGAGTTTTCGACTGCTTCAGCCATTCCTTCGTGTATTGAACCGTGCAAATTATTTGTGTCCATCCATACTTTGTAGCCTCGACTCTATCAATGAAATAATTAGATAATTTTATAGGAATAAACTCATTGATATGGACCCTAAGTTGTGTATAAATTCTTCGAGAAATGGCAAATGATGAGTCATGATGATAGCTTATCATAATGTGTCGTCCCGATCCGAATGATATTTTTCTATTATCATCAGACGTCGTTGGTGTTTGAGCTTCAGACTGACCTTCAACAAAGCAATGACAATGCCTGTTTTACATAAAATTTTCATCACTCTGTTTGCTTACCGATCGGCGTAGAAGGCAATGACGCAGTTCTATTGTTGCCACCATTGAAATCTTCAACGGGATTGATCCCAATTGAAGTATTAATCTTGGTGCAGGCCGAGGATAAATCATTCTCAAGCTCCTTCAAGGCGTCAGCGAAAGATGTTGCTGAATAGATAAAAAAAGCACGCGTATGTTTATATGAGATCTTGTATTCTTACCTGTTGCCGCAAGAGATGGATCAGACGGCACACGAGGATCATCTACAGATGTAACTGTTGATTCACCAATAATGTTCGACAAAATCAGATTATCCCAATCGCTGACAACTTCTCCTGCAAGAATATATTAGCAGTATGACATAAAAGATTATTATACACCATCACTCACGAGCAGTTGAGGCCGCAGTTTGCGACATACTTTCCGTACCGTCAAGCAGTTGCTCCTATAATCGTTAATTCTAATCTCTATGCAAACATTTTCAGGTAAATAATAAAAACAACTTTACTTGTAATACATTAGCTAAGACAGCACCAAGTCGTTCCGGTGATGTTATTGATTGCTCACTGTCCTTTGATGAAGCCATGCTTTACTATTGTTTCTAAAAATGAACAAATGATTGAGACATATATACATTGTCCATGATGGAAGTGCCGACTTTCAACGCACATTTTCACGATTATTTTTCTCGTTAACATACTAAAGTAAAATGTGTTGCGCATCTGTCGTATTTTGGGAGACAGAAGTACATATAGTGAAATATTCTTTTAAACAGCCATAGAAGACATTTTATTTCAGTGCGTACAAAATTAGTAGATGCACTGCAACTTCATATTTGTGAAAAAGACTCTACACATACCCTACCGTTCGTATTCCTCACCTTCTGATTTTACAGTTTTGTTCTATTCTTTCACCTACTTACCAGTGTGCTTTTGCTATTGTCACGAATAAAATGTGCGACTTTTTCTGCATGTTTAGCTGTTGCTTTTTTGTTTTTCTTTGATTGGCTTGGTTTGACGAAGACGACGACATCGAAACATTCTGGAGTGAGAAGAAAGAAGAAAACAAGCGAGAAAAAACAATACCCCCCGTCAAAGACAAAGTAAGATAAAAAAACAACAAAGATTGCTGTACAGAGGAAAAAAATGTTTTTATCGAGTTTTTTTTTTCGCGTAAGAGAAACCAAACGATATTTTGGCTTTTCGAAACAAGGCTTAAAGCATGCTGAGCGATTATATCCGAATGATGCAGTGTGCAAAGCTGAATGAAACTTTACGAATAATAAAGTTCAAAGAAAATAATTTGAGCGCTGAAATCTTTATTCTTTCTTTTCATCAATGTCTATATCAAAACTAAATTTAGAAGAAGCAAACACAATGATTATGAAGAAAAGAAAGAGAAATGAGGATTAAAGATCTCTAAACTCTACATTTAGTTTTGTAGTGCTTAAACAAAGCAGAATAGTTAAGCATGTTTTTTCTCAATAATTATACTTCGAACACTTTAATTAATTTTATTCACTTGAGCACTTTCTCGTATACGGATAAGGCGTATTCTGCTCTCTTTCAATCCTACATATACGGTATATTCCAAGTCTCTTTGAAGTAAGTCATCAGTAGAAATTGAAAAAAACAACATCACATAAGCATTGAACAAATTAATTAAATTAGATTAATTCGAATATCAAGCACAATTCCTCGAAAATAGGCACGAGATCGTGATGCTAATAATTATTGTAGTCAAGCAGAAACAAGTGGCTCCACAAAAACAGATCAAACACCAAAGAACTCCGAAATAACAAAGAAACAACAAGAACAACAGTCAGTTAAGTTATTTTCAATATCACCACTAATCTTCGAAAGGCACGAAATCAATAACAAAAGTAGATGGAAATAAAATTTTAAAAAGACATTTTTCTGGAGTTATAGTATCAGATATTCAAGTTAACCGTACTGGTACATTTATAATTTATGCTAGTAACATCAAGTCATTTAATTATCTGTTAAACAATCTCAGCACATATCTAAAAGAAAACAAATGTCAGCAAACAGTAGTTTATATTTCACGATCAATACAACGTATAATATAAGCTGATAAAATTTCTGTCATTAAACGAATTGATTTGCAAACAACTGAAGACGAAGTGAAAGAAGCTTTAATAAACAAAAATTTCTAATTTCAGTCAGTCAGTTGCCTGTATAACAATGATAAGATACTATTAAAAACGGTCAATATAGCATTTAGTGATGCGCATAATAGAAACACATTCGTGAAAATTGGTGTACAAATAAACGCAATATATTTTGATGTTGAGAAAGTCAACCAAAACAACAATTCAACACAGTGCTTTAAGTATATGCCATTCCGACATACTGCTAAATATTGTAACGCGCCCAACCGTAAATGTGCAAGATGTGGAGATAAACACAGGACAGAACAATGTTCCAATTCAAATAAAAAATGATGTTGTAGTGATTGTAGAGAAGAACATTTTGCAACATCTAAAGACTGTCCAACATTCAAGAAACAACAGTAACGAGTCCAACAAACAATACATGTTTATACAACAATAATATCAAAGTTACTTCCAACCGTATCTAATCTCAATAATATTGAAGACTTTCCGATATTAATTAAAACAAATCATAATTATTCGTCAAATACACAAACAGAAATTATTGATGTTCTCTGAGAAAAAATGTTTGATATTGTCGAACAAGCAACACAAAAAATATACAGTTGTAGCAAAAACTATCCGTATGATATCAATGACGGTGAAAATTTTTCTCTTCTAGGATTGAAAAAATTGAATTATAAAGTCATTAGATGTAGACGAGCACAAACTAAACGTTGAGTATTTTTGTGAGACTGGATATCGTATTTCTTTCTTAATTCTTACTGATATTATTCATGCATGCTTGTCATCATTTTGTTCTTTGAAATCAATTAAGTCAACTATTGAACTTTTGTCTATAACATTAGATTATTTCGCTTCCTGTCTTCCCAACGTTTCTCTGTAGATATATTTCTTCTTCTGTTCTTTTTTTTTTCGAGAATATTAGAAGATCCCTTTTTATTTCCTCTCTATGTTTGTTTTTTCTTAGAAGAACCCAAGAAGAGCACAAATTAACTCATTAACTGTTATTGGCGAGTATACTCATCAAAGCAATCTTTATGGAAAATATGACGAATAAAATCCCTTACCTATGTCTTCTTTGTATGCTCTATCAATTCTAACATTCTGCGTTGATTGAAGCCCTTTCTACCAGTTCTGATGTTTCATATCGGTTATATCCTTTTGTGTCAATTCTATTATTATTCATATTCAGTGTGGGTCCGCTCGTAAAATACTATTATTGAATTGATTGTTGCTACTCTACTAAGTATGCCATTTTCATATTGATTGTAACACTCTCTAGATAACAGTAATAGACAGAAGCACAGTCGTTTATGTGTATATACATATAGTCTTTCCAGAAATTCTCCTAAATTTGATTCGCTTCCCGGACATTCTAAAGGAACATTCAATTATGTTCTAAAGAAATTCTAATAAGTTTTGGAATAAAATAATAAAACATATTTCCCGCAAAAATTTCGTATTATCCTTAAATGTCTGTAAATTTCTAAAAGTTATTTTGGAGAAAGGTTTACCATTTAGTTTCAAAAAAAAAACAATTAACAGTTAAGGGGTTAAGAAAAGAATCAAAGAATGTGAGCAGAATAAAACAAATGTCGACAAGAACGGAATGTGTGCAGTTATATAAGATGTATGCCTGTAACAGAGAACATTCTCGATCTATATTGTGTTTTCTAAGCGTATTCGAAATTATTAACATATTTAAGCATATCAGTTCTCTTTCTTTTCGCAATAATAACGCGATAGTCATTTCAAAAAAAGAATTCACTTTGCTGAAAAAGATAACTAATGCTGAAAAGTAAGGAATATTCTTAAAATTTTCGACAAATAATTATACAACATCCTTCATTAGGTACAAGTCTTCGTGAGATTACCGAGATTGTTCGAACTGCAAAATCTACGGTTCAATCAATTGTTAATTAATATAAAAATACGAAGACGTTCAAGACAATGCCAGGTCATGATAGAAAAGAAAAACAACACACCCTGTTGATCAAGTTATTGTTAACAAGACACGAAAAAATCTTAGTAAATCATTCAAAGTTATTCAAAATGAACTTATGATTATGAATGAGTTAAAGTCGCATGCACTCGAGCGCTATGCTGCAAAGGCACTGTATTTTATTCTATTCTATTTGTTTTGTTTCCTTTTCTTCTCTTATTTTTTTTTTTTTTAAGACCATATTAGCATGAAGTCAATCATCAACTCGCATAAATGTTTCTTTTTTGGATTTTATTTTATTTTAGATTATATTACGGCATGCAGTCAAGCACCGGTGAGCATAAGCCTAGTGAAGGTACTCATACGGCAGTACTCAAAAGATATGCAAGCTAGAAAATGTCACGAGTACTCATGGGGTTTGAGTACTCATCAGTAGTATTTATCCTAGGATCTGAGTATCTGAGTGCGACTATCGAGTACTTGCCTTGTAAAATCAAGTACTTTGCAAGTATTCATCATACATTTTCTGAGTAAACTGGTGCTGTTTTTGTAAAATGCTCATATACATATATTTTTTTCAGTATTGTTATACTTTATTCATACATTTATTTATTTATTTTTACAGAGTACAGTGATAGCTTTATTTTTAAGAAAAAACCAACGCACAAAAACACGTATTAAAGACGGTATAAAATTATTCAAGATAATTGAGTGCTAAATTATTCTGAAAATTAAGACATGCGATAACAATAAACTCAAATATACAGAATATTACGAAAAAACAAAAAAGCAAAGACACTAAACTCATAACTAGATTTCATTTACTAATATATAGAGAAATGAAAGAAACAAATTAGTGTCTTTACGATGACGCATCCACCTTAAGAATATTGAAATCAGAGTGATCTGTATGAAAAACTATTATTTATCATTTGATTCATTATTTTTATTCATCAATGCGAATAATTGTATATTAATTTTTTTTAAGCTGGAGTTTTATTGTGTGGTCGATTCATCTCGTCGGTGGTGACAGCCAGAAAATAAGTATTAGTAGAGAAAGCAAAATATGATGCTATGAAACGAGTGAAAAAGAGAGAAACACTAGAAATTTTCAAATCATTGTATCCATATAAAGTAGCATAATTTATTGAAGACAGTGGTGTTATTGTTTTGTGAAAGGGATACGATTTGTTTGTTTGGTCTACCAACGGAAAGAACTGGAATATACAATTTTTGAACATAATGTGTTTGCACGTTATTCATAATGTTTTTATGTAAGAAAACATAATCCAATATATCTTGTTCAAATGTTTGACTATTTTTCATTCTTTTCTGTAGACATTTTTGAAATTTTTCTTCTAAAGTTGGTAAATTCAATGCATCATGAAGGTCAATGGTTGATGTTCTGTATCTAGAATAGATAAGCATAAGGCAACATCTGTAGAAAGAATTAACACGGTTTTGACTAGTTGTTGAGAATAAGCAGAAAATTAATGTCAAAATATAA